TGAAAAACAAAAAGGGGGAAATGTGGGAAACTTCTTGGAAAACAACGGACACATACTGAAGGTCAACATGAAGGAGGAGATCACAGCGCTGACACTGAAACTACTGCTACTCCCCAACAGATGCGGAATGTGTATTAATTAAAAGACTGACTTGTCAGAAATAGTAACAAAGTGTAGATAATAAGTTACAGCTGCATTTAACCAATAATAGTTTCTGTGTATAAGTCTAGAAACCAATGAGCACAAGCCGCAGAGCTAGCCCACATTGTAGTAAAAAGTATATAATGGCTTAAGTATTTTAATAAAGTGGCTTCAGCATTGATCATATTGGTCTGCGTCTGGGTCCGTCCGCACATAAACACTGTAAACTGAAATACTATGACCTGGATATGCACATTTTTGTAAAAGCAGGAAAGAACAGACAAGGGTAAATCTTCCTAATTAGAGATGATGGGGGAGTCTATACTAAGAAACAGAGAGCGATAGTTGTAATGTGGACTTTGCACAGAAAATGGACCAAATAAACATAATTTAACATGCACCAAAGTGAGAACATAGTCCTCTATAATTTTCTTCTGTGATGTTGAGAAGAAAGCCTGTTACCATATGGATAAATTAAATTTAATTTTCAGAGTTGTGATTCATCTTGATTGCTCCTCTTACATCAGCTTTTCATTCTGTAGACACGTATGCTTCCTTGTGTCTCACATCTGTCTGCTTTAGTTTTTTTCAGGAACAGAATACTGTACCATTCCTTCTCTCCTGAAGGAGTGACTTTGTTGCATGGTTCCTGCTGGGTTATATGGTAAATCTGGAGATACTCGCCCAGTTAGATAAAGGAGAATTAATGGCAAGGAATTTAGCTTTTAAACTGCAGGAATAGGTAGTCGTACTGTTGCTTCTAGCTCTCAAGTCTGAATGTAAGGGGGAAACTAAGTCAAACCTGAAAAAATTAGCAAAAGCAATTTTTATGCATGTATAACTGTGGTGAAATAAAGATTTTACAGGTAAAGAATTATTATTTTTTCCTGAAGTTATTCATCTGAGAAAAGCAGTGCTTCTAAAAGACATATTCCCAACTAAATTAGTTCTCATTTTTGCAACAGGAAAGTTCAAGACTACTTTAAAGTATTTTTATAAAAAAAAAGATTAAATGTAAATTCAGACAGAAGTTCTATAGAGGTACATATTCAGCAGGTTAACATTTACATTAAATATTCAAAATTTTAAATCTTGATTATTGATCAGTGTTCTGTTCTTTGTATGTATTATACACAAATACTTGTAGTTCTGTTAAGTGTAATGCATTTTTGATCAAACCATATTCTTAATATCCATTACTACCTGTCCATGAGTTTCACAACTTAATTATGCATTACATGAAAAAGAATTTCCTACCTTCTAGCTCAGTTGTGACTTTTTAGTTTCACAGGCTCACAGACTCATGGAATAAGTCAAGACTAAGTCAAACCACCTCTGCAGGACCCACCCATTGACCAGTTCTTGCATCTTTATACAGTACTTTTATGTGTGGTGGCTTGAGGGTTTCAGATCCTGCATGATGCCTTACAATAGGTGGATCATTACTGTCCCCGAATACGCATAAATGATTAAGCACAAAAAGGGCCTTTTGGAACCTTTCTCTTGCGTCCACAACATCCTTAAATTTCTCCAAATAATGCTTCAGAGTCCCATTGGCTCTTTCTACTACTGCCTGTCCGGTGGGGGAGTGGGGAATGCCAGTAAGGTGGGCAATATTCCATAATTGCATAAAGCGCTTCAGTAATCCACTATTGTAGGCCGGGCCATTGTCAGTCTTGATCGTGCCAGGATATCACGTCCTACCAGAGCGTGCACCCCTTCAGGCAGTGGAATAATAGAAACACAGCAGTTTACCACCTTGTCCATTATAGTCCATCGCAAAAGGGGTGATTTGCAAGCAAAAGTCAGCCC